CAGACTCTTTACCTTGTGCAGCGGAATGAGCACCCTTGTCAGGAAAAGCTTGTGCTCTTCCTTCAAGGGCAGAGCAAAACCGTTGATGATGGAGCCGAGGATTTCGAGAAGCTCGGCAATTCCGTTAAATCGTTCCGTCTCGTAGATGAATTGGAAGAAGACATTGTTGATCGAACGACGAATGTAGGAGCGGAGGTTTAGGAATTTGCCGTATATGCGATGAAGCGTGGTCTTCAAAAAGTCGCGCTCTCTGGGGTCCTCGGAATCGAAAAGCTCAAGTAGCTGGGAAGATTAGCTGCAGAACTGATCACTGTAAAACAATCAAGTACATACGTTGAGCACAAAACTGTGGTCTATGTATGCTTTGGCAATGTTTGTGTTGAAGTCCTGGCTCTCAATGAAGCGCAGGAAGAATTCGTAGACGACTTGAATGTGTGGCCATGCAACCTCCAACACAGGCTCGTCTTCTTCAGGGTCAAAAGCCTCGCCCTGGGGGTTCATGGGAGGTGGAATGGGTCGGAACAAATTCTTGGCAAACATTTCCACGACGCGAGGATACATCTTCTCTGTAATGACCTGGCGATTGTTGGCAACGTAGTCGAGCAACTCGTGCAAGGCCAGGCGCTTGATCTCCTTGGACTTCATATCGCCGCTGGCATCGTTGAAATCGAAGATGATGTTGCATTGGTCAATCTTCTGCATGAACAGTTCCTCCCGCTTGTTTGGAGGCACCTCGTGGAATCCGGGTAGCTTCTCCAGTTCACGCTGACGTTGATCGGAAATGTCGAAGCGCGATGAATGCTGCCTCTTTGGAGTCCTTATACCCTCGATATTGTCCTTGGGGGTCGCTTGAAGACGGTCGAATATGCCCGACTTCTGGCCCGCCTTTGGAGGCGCAAGGTCACCAGGCATGGTCTCGGCAGCGCCAGGAGGGGGAACGTGCTGCAAGAGTACTTAGTCTACGCAGGCCTTCTACATAAGTATGATGAGCAAGAGTACTTACAGGAGCGCTCGGGCTGATGACGACGCTCGGCGCCAGGGGCTGCCCAAGCCTAGAAGGCGTGCCTGGGCCTGCAGCACCAGCATTGCCAGCATTGCCAGGACCCATCAGCCCCTGTCCAGCAAATGACTGCGACCCACCTGCTAGAGAGCCCGACGAAGGCTGCTGGTTCTGTTGTAGCGACCCGAGGTGGGCTGCGGCGCCATCAGTAGCGGGCTGGTTCTTGCTTCGCGCGTCGGTGAGCTGCGTCTGTGATGAGGAAGGAGTGGCCTGGGCGGAGCCCGAGGGAGAATTAGAGGCACCGAGCGACGGCGAAGCAGTACCCGAGTTTGAGTCCTTCTTCTTGGACGACTTTCCATCCTTGCTTCGAGAAAGCTGTTCAGACTAGACATGTTAGCCTCCGCGCATAGAGAGGGGCAAGGCGGTGGCCGGTGGCCGCAGCGCAAGGGCCCAGGGAGGAAACGGAGACTTACGACCCTTTGCCGGAAACCCTTCATGATTGTGCAGGAGCGCTCAGGGCCAGGTCAAGCGCTGCGGAGGTGTCTGCGGAGACGGGCGTCCGAAATTGAGGCGGGCCTCGGGGCGTGTATCGAGGGGGGTCGCAATCCAAGAGCGCCAATGGGGTGCCAGAAGAGGAGCGCAGGCTGGAGAAATGACGACTGGGCAGGCGTGCAAGTCAGGTCGACATGGAGGACGAGGGGACGCGTGAGATGGTGGATGGAGGCTAGTGTGTAGCCGTCTTGGGATGCAGCACGGGGAGTCGGTGGAGGGCAGAGCTCGCGAGAGGGGGGAGGGAATAGAAGGCAGCTGAGGGGAGCCCCAACAACGGCGTGGTGACGTAGAGGCGAACCGGCAGAGAGAGCGAGGCGTGTAACTGAAGAGCTGGAGATGAGAGAATGAGCAGGTCGTCAACTGACAACTCAGGGCTGCTGCCAGACAGACGGCGTCGAGTGATTCGCGCTAGCCGTCCCGTAGCGAGGCCGTGCGTTTGGGATCTCGAGAGCCCCGCCGCGGCCGTCACGACATCATACTCTACATCCGATAGCATATGTACATAGACACGGCCATGCGGCGACGGACGCTTTGAGAGAAGCGAGCCAGGGGCAGAGAGAGACAAGACACATAGACGACAAATAGGCTTTGGCGGCGTTGCATGGCTGCACGTCACCTGACCGCCCGCGCCCACAGTGAGCCATAGCCAGATCCCCGGCACCATATATAGTACTTCAGAGGGACGCTGCAAACGGGTCCTCGCATGCTCAGGGTCTGTGTGTGTGTGCGCCCTAATTGATGGTGCTTTCTGCTGTGCTCGGACAGACTCTGCAAACACAACCACACGAGAGACTACATGTATAGTACTCTGTGCCTTGTGAACAAAAAAATCCGCTGCAGTGCGCCATGAGCGACGAACAACCCACGCCCACTGCAAACGGTGAAAGCCAACAGGCATCATCGTGGCTTCCTATTCCATCGCGCGCCATCTCGGTTGTCGAGCATCCAGCCATCATCAAGAACGTGGAAAAGGGCATTGCGTCGTTGGGCGGGCCTGTCAAGCTGAGCAAGGTCAGCAAAAATCTTTGTACTACAACTCCATGCCACACCTGCATGCTAACACGTGACTCAAGGGTCTACGATCGAAACTGGAAACAACCGTTAATGCCGAGGGCGACGATGAACTCAAGAAGCTCATCTCTGTCTCCCTTCGTCCCGACGACCCCTTCGCCAAGCGTTTGCTATCTACCCCGGTGCGCACCAACAACCTACTCCTAAAAGTCACAGTCCCCAAGCGAACAGGTCGCAAACGAAAGCGCGGCACTACAGGGCCCTTTCTCGCTGAAGACGACATAGCCCGTGACAGCAATCAAACCTATGTCGATGCGCCAACAATCTACAGAAGCATCCAAGACAATGCATCCACACACAAGGTTGCTCTTGTTGGTGTGGTTGACGAAACTCACCGGTTCAGGAGTAAGTGCTGACTTTCTGCCCATATCTGGTATCAAGTGCTGACTGCTTAGATATGCCTGACTTGCAGTACGCCGCTTCTCACAGCGACACAATGGTCGGCTTGCGTGATCACATTCTTTCCAGACGATGTAAGAATTGTTCAGGTAGTCCCGAGACATCACTGACTTTTTTTTAGATGACAAGGTAAAGAGCTACAACATCAATACGGCAGCCGGTGCAGATATTACCAAGACTGTCGGTCCATCTGCAGAGTTTCTGCAGATGCCTATCGCTTTCAACTATCGGTATGTGTACAATTCTGCGAATCCAACGTTTACTGACATCCAGCTAGTTTCCAGCAAAACTCCAACGTCAAATACACCGAGCAAGGTGTTGTCAATGTGCAGAGAAGTCTGTCTTACAACTCATACACTATTGTCAAACCCACCGACGAGCATGTGCCAACTGGACCGGGACCCAGCCTACCTGCAGAGAAGGATCTCACGCCTTATATGCAGTCACTGATTGCCAATATCAGAGCCCTGCTCCTTGAAAGACCCATTGTCACTCGCCAACTCCTGTACAATAGGCTTGGGTGGAGTAAGCGAACCAAGCTTCGGCAAGCTGCTATATACTGTGGGTATTTCTTCGAGAGTGGGCCCTGGCGAGAAGCACTTGTGCGTTGGGGGGTTGACCCTCGCAAGAATCCTGAATACCGCAAGTACCAGACGGTGTCTTTTCTCTCGTACCTCAAATCGGGTATATCAAAACACCGAGCAGTTTTCGACCAGCATGTCATGAAGCTAGCCAAGATGTCTCCGGAAGAACTAGAGTCTGAGCATACTTTTGACGGTGTTCATGTCTCACAAACTGGAAACTTATTCCAATTCTGCGATATAACCGACCCTCTGATTTCGAAAATTCTTTCTACAAAAGATATCAGGACGACGTGTGCGCCGACCTTCCAAGGATGGTATCATGTGGGGACATGGGCTAAAGCGACAGTAATACTAAAGGATAAAATGAACACAATCATTGGTGGTGAGAAACCAGATGACGCAATATACCAGCGTATTCTCAGTTGGCCTGAACTATGGGATGACAAGGAAATGGCAGCTCAATATAAAGCAGAGATTGATGACCGCCAGATACACCAAGAGAAGAGGAGAGAGCATCAGGTTATGCACAACGTCCGTTGGGCTGCAAGAAACCCGCGCTACACTTTTGAGAAGATGGAGGCAGAAAACGAACAAGAAAGAGAAGTGAATGATTCGGAAAATTTAGAAGACGTTGATGTTCCCGAAGACATGACAGAAGATCCCGTCATGGCTGACACCGTCTTGGATGTAGATCTCGACGCAGATGACGAAGGTGCTGACCAAACTGGCGAGGGTGATGATGGCGATGATGACGATAAAGAAGATGCGATGCCAGATGATGAGCTGGATGAGGATATGTATGGGAGCTCAGATGGTGAAGACGACAATGATAGCACTATCATATCTGTTCGAGCCACGTCCGAGGGGCCCGCGCCTTTTGGAGGATACTATAGGGTATAGCTGATACAATGTAATGACCATATATCGGTGAGACATGGAGTACACGTTGTTATTGATTGATGCTGAGCTATCGCGATTTTGACTTGAAAATGACTCTTTGATTGATGAGCTGTTACTAGTAATGCAAAACCCCACACAGGTTAGGAACACGTCAACTGGAAATAGGGTGCTCAAGCTTAATGGACCACCGCAACTTCAATAATTCCTCGATATTTATCTACAGCAAGGGAAAAAAAAATTCCTTGTTACACAGTACATGCATGCGGGGTGTAGGGACTATGCTTTCAGCCTTGGGTATAGTAGTAGTAAGAGCGACCCACTTTTCCATGCTTGGCTTGGGTGCAACTCGGATCGTCTGAGCTTTCGTTTTCATAACCTCACGCGAAATCGCACCACCACCGACATCACCCCTCGCCCACGCAACGCCGGCTCAACCGTCCAGTAGCCTCCATCATCACCTCGAAAAGCTAGCCGCCAGCTAATTGAACCGCATCATGCTCTTCATGCGCGCCGCGTCAAAGGTCAGTCGGGTGGCAGTCCCGGCCTACCGAGCACCTACCGTTGCATTGAACGCTCAGCGCACCTTCTCGCAGTCGGCTATCCGAAAGAGCGATGCGCACGCCGAGGAGACGTTCGAAGAGTTTACCGCCAGGTACGAGGAATCCATGGAGGGGCTCGGGCGATTGGAGAGAAATAGTGGGACCACGGACTATGGACAGCCATTGGGTTCAATTGACCGCATTGAGAGCTGCAGCGCTGACTTTTGTGTCTTCATTGCAGGTATGAGAAGGAGTTCGAGAAGGTCAATGATGTTTTTGAGCTTCAGGTATGTTTGTTGTGCCCTAGCATACGGCCCGCACCGGTATCACCCGAGCTGCATTGAGCCAGCCGGTGGACTGCTGTGAACGAGAGCTATACGCTAACACGTTACAGCGAAACCTGAACAACTGCTTCGCTTACGATCTCGTCCCCTCCCCTGCAGTCATCACTGCCGCTCTCCGCGCTGCCAGGCGTGTCAATGACTTCCCCTCGGCTGTCCGAGTTTTCGAGGGTACGTTTCTCATTATACCCCGCGCATGTGTATCTGGACGGTTTACGTCGTGGCGGGGCGTGAAACATGTCACAAGATGATGCGACTTTGGGTGTGACCAGCCACGGAGCCTTGATTACTAACATACGTCACAGGTATTAAGTTCAAGGTGGAGAACAAGGGCCAATACGCCGAGTACCTTCAGGAGCTTGAGCCGATACGCGAGGAGCTTGGTATTCCCCTTAAGGAAACGCTCTACCCTGAGGAGAAGTAGATTGCAGGCTGGTATGCTCGCTATCCGATTATCTCCTTCTTGACATCGAATACTTCGGAGCGCCCAATGTAAATGCCATATTTCAATTTCCTTTACTAGACAGAAGACCGGAAGCGAACGTGGCCTGTACAACTGTGTGATGTATTGCAGCATGAATGGGTGGTCAACGTATGCCAAGGCGGGTTGGGGTGATGCAGAGTGCAGATATTTAGATGCCGCAGGTAGATGGAATGAGATTTGCAATTTCAAATGCCTTTAGTTCATATTCAAATCTGGATATTCTGGGATGCAGGTGTGGTAGTACGACCATTATATGGCCTCGTTGGAACATACAGATATCTCCAGTCAGGGTTGCAGTCATCAACACAATAGGCTCAATGCCACAGACCGGGGATTTGTAAACGCCGATGGCGCTAAGCCCAACTCGCACAGACGCAGGGGCAAAACGGTCCAATCAGCGGCAGGCAGCGACGGAACTTGCCGGTTCAGAGTCCAGGGCATTCCCACCTCTGCGACCGGTCGTCAGTTGAGTGCTCTGCAGAGCTCAAGACGCGACCTCAACCAGCACCTGCTGGACGCGCCTTCCCACCCCACCACCAGTCCTCGTTTTCTCATAACGATTTTAATGACCAACCGGGCCATCTAGCCCATCCCTTCTTTTTCACATTTTAATATTCCCCATTGCAGCCACCTGCCGCTGTTCCTGCACACGACTGCGCCGTTCCCCGAGCAAATGCGCCTGCCTTCTGCCACACCGGCTGCGCAACCCACAGAGTAAACACGACACTATACGGTGCAGCTTGAGAGGCCTCCAAACAAGGGGAGAAGCAGCTGTGGGCTGCAAACATCCTCGTCATGGCGTCTCACAACTTTGAGGCCATGGCCTCCAAACTGGACGACCCTAACTCTGGTAACGAGACATTTTTTAGACCCGAGAGCCATGATCGCACGCGGTCGCGCATATTAAGAAACTTGAGCAGAGGCTGACTGTGGCACAGATCTGAGAGCAAAGGGCACCCAGGCCATCGAAATCCGGGACAACATCGAGAGCTACTGTCAAGGACCGCAGTACAGCGCATTCCTGAACCACCTAGTTCCTGTGTTTCTCAAGATACTCGATGGCAATCCAGTATTCATATCCACATCGCCCGAACAGGTGAGCGCAAACCCCGCAGCAATAGAACAGCCTTCTGACTCAAACAGCGGATACGAAACTGCATCCTCGAAATCCTGCACCGCCTGCCCATGAACCCGACCGAGGCGATCGAACCGCATGCGGCCAAGATTGTGGATAAGCTCATGAGTCTGGTCAAGTTGGAAAATGAAGACAATGCCGTTTTGTGTATGAAGACGATTATGGACTTCCAGCGCCACCAAACCAAAGCCCTCGCGGACCGCGTTCAGCCTTTCCTCGACCTGATCCAAGAAATGTTTGAGACAATGGAGCAAGCCGTGCACGATACATTCGATAGCAGTGCGCCTGCGTCAACCTCGTCAGGTGTTCCCTCGACCCCGAACAATCACCAGTTTTCGCAATCTCCTCGTCCCAATTCGCCAGCAACTACGCTAAGTTCCAGCTCCGCAGGCGATCTTGGGTCGGAGCACCAGCAGACGCGCATGCTGCTCAAGGGAATGCAATCGTTCAAGGTTCTCGCAGAGTGCCCAATCATTGTGGTATCACTATTCCAAGCCTACCGGAACTGTGTGAACAAGAATGTAAAACTCTTCGTTCCGCTCATCAAAAATGTGCTTTTGCTCCAGGCAAAGCCGCAAGAGAAGGCGCATGAGGAGGCCAAGGCCCAGGGCAAGATTTTTACTGGCGTCAGCAAGGAGATTCGGAATCGAGCCGCTTTTGGCGATTTCATCACAGCTCAAGTTAAGACCATGAGCTTCCTGGCATATCTCCTCAGAGTCTACGCAAACCAGCTGAATGATTTCCTGCCAACGTTACCGGATATCGTTGTGCGCCTGCTCAAGGACTGCCCGCGAGAAAAGTCGGGTGCGCGGAAGGAGCTGCTGGTAGCTATACGGCATATCATCAATTTCAACTTTCGCAAAATCTTTCTGAAAAAGATTGACGAGCTACTGGATGAGAGGACCTTGATTGGAGACGGACTTACCGTGTACGAAACCATGCGCCCGCTTGCGTATAGTATGCTTGCGGATCTCATTCACCATTTGCGAGATTCGCTTTCCAAGGAACAGATTCGCCGCACAGTCGAGGTGTACACAAAGAACCTGCACGACAGCTTTCCGGGGACCAGTTTTCAGACTATGAGTGCAAAACTGCTTCTGAACATGGCAGAGTGCATTGCAAAGTTAGAGCCTAAGGAAGATGCTCGGTACTTCTTGATTATGATTCTCAATGCCATTGGGGACAAATTTGCCGCTATGAACCGCCAGTATCACAACGCTGTCAAACTCTCAGCACAGTACAGCCAACCATCAATCGATGCGACTGACGAAAATCACATGGCCGTTCAAGACAGTCCCCCGGACTGGGATGAGATTGACATCTTCAACGCGACCCCCATCAAGACGTCGAATCCCCGAGACCGCAGTTCTGACCCGATTGCCGACAACAAGTTCTTGTTCAAGAACCTGCTGCACGGGCTCAAAAATCTCTTCTACCAGCTGCGAGCGTGCAACCCGGCCAAGATCAAAGAAGAGATTGACCCAGCGAATGCGTCAGCCAACTGGCATGAAGTGTCCTTTGGCTACAACGCCGAAGAGGTCGAGGTCCTCATTAAACTTTTCCGCGAGGGTGCCAAGGTGTTCCGTTATTATGGCACCGACAAGGCACCTGAGACCCAAGGAATGTCACCAGGAGATTTCATGGGCAACCAGCATATGATGTCAAGCGGCAAAGAAGAGAAGGATCTACTGGAGACGTTTGCGACAGTTTTCCACCACATTGACCCAGCCACATTTCACGAAGTGTTTTCATCCGAGATACCCCATTTGTACGATATGATGTTCGATCACCCGGCATTGCTCCACGTTCCACAGTTTCTTCTTGCTTCCGAGGCCACATCCCCCAGTTTTTCGGGAATGTTGCTACAGTTCCTCATGGATCGGATTGAAGAGGTTGGCACTGCAGATGTCAAGAAGTCATCCATTATGCTTCGCCTCTTCAAGCTATCCTTTATGGCAGTCACACTCTTTTCTGCTCAAAACGAGCAAGTCCTCCTGCCGCACGTCAGCAAGATCATCACAAAGTCTATTCAGCTATCAACGACTGCTGAGGAGCCCATGAACTATTTCCTCCTGCTCAGGTCGCTCTTTAGGAGCATTGGCGGTGGTAGGTTCGAGCATCTATATAAGGAGATTCTGCCCCTTCTAGAGATGTTGCTGGATGTTCTCAACAACCTTTTGTTGACGGCGCGCAAGCCTGCAGAAAGAGATTTGTTCGTTGAGCTTTCTCTTACAGTACCTGCGAGGTTGAGTAATCTTCTACCGCATCTTAGCTACCTGATGAGACCGCTGGTCGTTGCTTTGCGAGCTGGATCTGATCTTGTTGGCCAAGGACTTCGTACTCTGGAGCTTTGTGTGGACAACCTTACCGCGGACTACTTGGATCCTATCATGGCGCCGGTGATTGATGAATTGATGGCTGCTCTATGGGAGCATCTCAAGCCGAATCCATACAGCCACTTCCACGCCCATACGACAATGCGCATCCTGGGTAAACTCGGTGGCCGCAACCGCAAATTCATTACGGGGCCACCAGAACTCAACTTCAAGCCGTACTCGGATGATCAATCCTCTATCGACATACGTCTCATTGGATCAACCAAAGACCGAGCGTTTCCTGCGGCAATCGGAATTGACACCGCAATCGCAAAGCTCTACGAGGTCCCTAAGACACCCGCGGCCAAGAAGTCTGATACGTTCCATAAGCAGCAGGCCCTCCGCCTCATCACAGCCCACACAAAGCTGCTGGTCGGCTTCGACAGCTTGCCTGAGGACTTTGCACAGCTGGTTCGCCTGCAAGCCAACGACTTATGTGCCAAGAAGTTCGATGCCGGTTACGACATTCTCACTGCTTCGGAACGTGAGAAGTCAATCACCAAGAAGAGCGTGGAGCAGGAGACTTTGAAGAAGTTGCTGAAGGCTTGTATCTTTGCTGTGTCTATACCTGAGTTGAAGTCTGACGCTGAGGCTCTGGTGAACAACTTGGCGAAGCATTTCACACTCCTAGAACTCGGAACCCAGTTTGCAACGCTCAAGCACAAGACGAAGCCGTTTGATGTTCATTCGGGCGAGGGGCCCGTCGTGATCGAAACCGACGTTATTTCAGAAGCTATCGGCGAATCCCTAGCTTCAGAGCATGCTGCTGTGCGCGACGCTGCGGAACAAGTCATCATAACCATGCGCGATGCTACAAAGGCCATCTTTGGAAATGACGGCTCTCTCGACAAGTTTGTCTTCTTCACTGAGCTTTCCAGCACCTTCTGCCACAACTGCCATGCGGATGACTGGTTCATGAAGTCTGGTGGAACTCGTGGTATTGAGATCATGATCAAGCAGCTAGGGCTTCCTCAGACCTGGTTGGTGCCTCGCCATTTCGAGCTTGTCCGCGCTTTGAACTTTGTCATGAAGGACATGCCCATCGATCTGGACTCGAAAACGCGCATTCAAGCAGAAGGTCTTATCCAAGATCTCATCCGGCGATGCCACAAGAAGATCAAGAAAGAAGACTTTGATAAGGGCAACAACATTACGCTGAGGCTTTGCCAACAGCTCGTGGGTGATCTGTCGCACATGAACAAAAATGTGCGGGACGCGACACAGAAGGCTTTCCAAGTGCTCTCTGAGGTCACTGAACTGAGCGTGAGCGACCTCATCACACCCGTCAAAGACAGGCTCATTCTGCCCATTTGGACAAAGCCACTCCGAGCGTTGCCCTTCAGCATTCAGATTGCCTACATCGACGCCATCACCTTCTGTCTGAAACTTAAGAACAACATCCTCGAGTTCAATGAGCAGTTGACACGGTT